ACCCAGACACTGGGATGAGGGATTCAGACATCTGGATGAGGGATCCAGACTTTGGGATGAAGGATTCAGACGTTGGGATGAGGGACCCAGACACTGGGATGAGGGACCCAAACTTTGGGATGAGGGATTCAGACATCTGGATGAGGGATCCAGACTTTGGGATGAAGGACCCAGACACTGGGATAAAAGACCCAGACATTGGGATGAAGGATTCAGACATTGGGATGAGGGACCCAGACACTGGGAGGAGGGACCCAGGCATTGGGATGAGGGATCCAGACTTTGGGATGAGGGATTCAGACATCGGGATGAGGGATCCAGACTTTGGGATGAAGGATTCAGACATTGGGATAAAAGACCCAGACATTGGGATGAAGGATTCAGACATTGGGATGAGGGACACAGACACTGGGATAAGGGACACAGACACTGGGATGAGGGACCCAAACTTTGGGATGAGGGACCCAGACACTGGGATGAGGGACCCAAACTTTGGGATGAGGGACCCAGACACTGGGATGAGGGATCCAAACTTTGGGATGAGGGACCCAGACATCGGGATGAGGCACCCAGACACTGGGATGAGGACCCAGACACGGGGATGAGGGATTCAGACATTGGGATGAGGGACCCAGACATCGAGATGAGGGACCCAGACACTGGGATGAAGGACCTAGACTTTGGGATGAGGGGTTCAGGTGTCCAGGATGGGACCCTGGGGACAGGGCAAAGGACACAGGTAATGGGATAAAGGACCCAGACACTGGGATGAGGGATTCAGGTAGCCAGGATAAGACTTTGGGGACAGAACGAAGGGCCCAAGTAATGGGATGGGGGACTCAGATTTTAGGACAAGAGACCCAGGTGTCCAGAAGTGGATCCAGGCATTGGGAGAAGGGATTCAGGTGGCCAGGAGAGGACTTTGGTGACAGAACGAGGGACCCAGACATTGGGATGAGGCACCCAGACATTGGGATGAGACACCCAGACATTGGGATGAGGGATCCAGGTGGCCAGGATGAGACTTTGGGGACAGGACAAAGGACCCAAGTATTGGGATGAAGGACCCAGATGTCAGAAGAAGAGACCCAGGTGCCCAGGAGGGGATCCAGGCACTGGGAGAAGGGATTCAGGTGGCCAGGAGAGGACTTTGGTGACAGAATGAAGGACCCAGACATTGGGATGAGGCACCCAGACATTGGGATAAGGGGCCCAGACATTGGGATGAGGGATTCAGGTGGCCAGGATGGGACCTTGGGGACAGGACAAAGGACCCAAGTATTGGGATGAAGGACCCAGATGTCAGAAGAAGAGACCCAGGTGTCCAGGAGGGGATCCAGGCACTGGGAGAAGGGATTCAGGTGGCCAGGAGAGGACTTTGGTGACAGAACGAAGGACCCAGACATTGGGATGAGGGGCCCAGACATTGGGATGAGGGATTCAGGTGGCCAGGATGAGACCTTGGGGAGAGGACAAAGGACACAGGTATTGGGATGAAGGACCCAGATGTCAGAATAAGAGACCCAGGTGCCCAGGAGGGGATCCAGGCAGTGGAACGAAGGACTGAAGTGGCCAAGAGGGGACCAAGATGGCAGAGACAGCACCCAGGTGGCCACGAAGGGGATGGAGGTGTCCAAGAGAGGACCCCAAACACCTGGAGAAGGGACCCAGACAACACGGGTTGTGTGAAGGGACCCAGTGGGACCTGGTGACACGGGCGGGACCCAGGCGGATGTGAAGGGACCCAGGAATCCAGGAGGGGACTCAGGTGGCCTCACCTGCCAGCTGTCACTGAGCTCCTTCACCTGCTGCTGCAGCTCCGTCAGCGATTTGACGGCCTCAGCCTCGCGCAGCGCCAGCGCCTGCAGCTCCTCCTGCAGCCTCACCACGTTGTCCTCATCTGGCAGCAGGCTGTTCCTCTGCAGGACACGGGGGTGTCAGCGGGGACAGAGGACCCCCAGGGACAGAGGACCCCCCGGGGAAAAGGGGGTGCTGCCCAACAGGGACACCCTGGGGACACCGATGTGGCCCTGGGGGTCGGCAGGGATGGGGCGCAGCAGTTCTAGGGCTCCCCGTGGTCACTCGTGTCCTTTGGATTTTGTCCCCAGGGCCACCTGTGTGATTGTCTCCATCCTCAAGACCACCCCTGTGATTGTCCCCCACCCACAGGACCACTCATGGCGCAGTCCCCAAGGGTCCCTTATGTGAATGTCCCCAACCCTGAGGTTTCCTATATGATCATCTCCATCCTAAAAGCCACTCCTTTGGTAGCCCCCCACCCCAGGACCACTTATGGCACAGCCCCCAGGCTCTCTTCTGTGACTGTCCCCAACCCTCAGGTCCCTTGTATGACCACCCCCATCCTAAAGGGGTGATCCTAAATAATCCTCAACCCCAGGACCACTTATGGCACAGCCCCAGAGTCTCTTATGTGACTGTCCCCAACCCTCAGGTCCTTTGTATGATCACCCTCATCCTAAAAGGACGACCCTAAATAATTCCCAGTCCCAGGACCACTTATGGCACAGCCTCCAAGGTCTCTTCTGTGACTGTCCCCAACCCTCAGGTCTTTTGTATCATCACCCTCGCCCTAAAAGGACGATCCTAAATAATCCCCAGTCCCAGGACCACTTATGGCACAGCCCCCAGGGTCTCTTATGTGATTGCCCCCAACCCTCAGGTCCCTTGTATGACTACCCCCATCCTAAAGGGGTGATCCTAAATAATCCCCAGTTCCAGGATCACTTATGGGACAACCCCCAGGGTCTCTTCTGTGACTGTCCCCAACCCTCAGGTCCCTTGTATGACCACCCTCATCCTAAAAGGATGATCCTAAATAATCCCCAGTCCCAGGATCACTTATGGCACAGCCCCCAGGGTCTCTTCTGTGACTGTCCCCATCCTAAAGGCCACTCCTTTGGTAGCCCCCCACCCCAGGACCACTTATGGCACAGCCCCAGAGTCTCTTATGTGATTGTCCCCAACCCTCAGGTCCTTTGTATCATCACCCTCGTCCTAAAGGGTTGATCCTAAATAATCCCCAGTCCCAGGACCACTTATGGCACAGCCCCCAGGGTCT